CAGGATGGAGAAAAGGATACTCTCACAACTTGGCAGTGTTTGTATTTTCAGGCAGAAGAATCTAGAGGTGATTAAGAAAAGTGAAGATCTGATGCAGTCCTTTTACTACCAGGCAGCTTCCAACCAGGAACTATACACTAATACAGCTATAAGCACCTATATTTTGGACCGTAATACTACAGTGCCTTGTTGCTAGTACTGTGGTTACAGCAAGAAAATAAGGCTGTTGTGGAATCTTAATTGGAAAAGAATTGAAAATAACTGTACTTGAATACATAACCCGGGTGGCGAGTGTTTAGTTGCCATGGAGATTGGCAAAGACTTGCAATATAGATATCTAATCTTCAGAAAAATGTGAAAGGATACTGGTATACAGAAATACCTTCCCTGTAATTTGGAGCAGTTTCACAGACTGTCCATCATAAATCGGCATTTCAGAAAGTCAGGGCTGTGACTGATGTGAGACATAGTGATTTAATCTGATTTGTGAAAAATAAGGAATCGTCACAAGCAGCAACGAACAGGAGAGCAATTCTGACATGGCAAAGGCACTGCCGATGGGGACTCCCACCCACCTTCAGGAAAATATCTTGTTGAGATTTAGCTCCCAACAGCACTCAACTGGAAGCTATGCTTCTGTAATGAAACTTAAAACCTTTTTAGACAGCTTGTGAGTTTCTGTTTGCCTGGATACGTTTGACACTCAAGCCCAAAAGAGGAAAACAGACCATTTTTCAGGCAGAACCCCATCATAAAAGTCACAATGTCAGGCTTGATTTGGGTCCACTGTCCCACGAGGGTGTCAACAGCAGCTGGACTAACTGATAGCAGCAAAAAGCCCTCTGAGGGACGAAGGTACCTCAGAGGATGAATCTTGAAGTGGAAGAAAAACTTTATATTACAACTGTACGAGTTATTAAAACGGGTAGTCCAAGTAAATGGGGCAAAACAAGGTACCCGATTCGTCCATTGGGGTAAGTTTTCCTGTGGGATCAGTAGGTGTGCTGGAAGAGATACGGTTTTATGCATCTACTTTCTGAAAATTAGCATAAAACATTCACCTGGAAAGGCATGCAAAGAGATGTGGGTTATGTTAGAAGCTGGCGTCTGGTGAGAGAGGTCTAAAGTATCACTTTCCAGGTAAGGAAGTTAGATCCCGGGCTGTCAAGGCACAGCCCAGCCCACAGGCTCTGGTTTATTTCCAGCAGAGCTCTGTACTCTTCACATAAAAAGAAACTGTTGTTATGCTGCTTATTGCTGCAATGCAAAGCACAACAGACCTCTTTATGTAAATTTCTAAGGAACAGCAGCTAAGTATATCTTATGGCATTTACCTTACATCTTACATTCTGGTTTAAGAGTAAAACTGAGGTTTGTAAGTAAGTGTGAAGTTTGGCCAGCCTTATTTTACAGTATCTGGAAGTGCTTCACAATTAGTAGGCGTAGCTTCTGGTACCAAGAATTCGCCATCTAATTTCAAGCGAAATGAGAGAGATTGAGTCCATGGAGCTAACTCACTAAAATGTCCTAACTGGTTGGGTTCTCTCTAACTAAATAATAACAGACATTATTAGGAACAACATGATTCAAACAGAATAGAGGAATAGACAACCTGGTTCATTACTGGTTCACTCTCAGTTTACACTGGTATAAAACTGGACTGATATAGTTGTGAGCTATGCCGCCAGAGTAAATTACGCCTAAAAAATATCATTGTGGTTTGTGTTTTGTGCCATAAAGGACAGGACTGGCTTAGAGGTAGACCTCTGCTGCAGGTTTATGATCTGGATTTAGATCTGAACAATTGCAAAGCCTCAGATGTTCAGATCTGCGGTTTCAATCTGGGCTCTATAAGCTGTGGTGTTGATAGCTCTTTAGGCTGTAACTAGTCAGACAGGAAAACCCATCCAAGAGCTCTGAGACCATGGCTTAAATCTTACCGAGATTAGTATTAACTAAACCTGTCTCTTGTTGGATGGCCCTTCAGCTGCCAAAACTGGTTTTTGGCTGACATCACAGGCAGTAAACCAGGGTCATCATTCCTCCTTTGAACATTACATAGTTCAAAGAGCTGCCAGTGAAGCATGGTGAAAAATAACTGAAATAGTATTAGCTTCTCATTATTCAATGGAATTACCCAAATCAACATCGAACCTAGTCAGCAAGTATAGAAAACACTCCATTTCATGTCTCTCTCCTTAAGATTGTCCCCTTAAATTAAAGCCACCAGCTGTCTTTAAACATGTGCAAACAACCACTGGAAAAATTATTATATATATATTCTGCGTCTTAAAATGTTTTCTGGCACATCTTTCCACCGTGTCCTGGGGTAAAGCTACGATAGCTTTCATTACAGGAGGCAAGAAAAAAAAAAGATACCCACCCACATCCCTTTCCCTCTCCCCTGGGCAGGCGAGCATAGATATGCCTCGGCCCCCTTCTAAGAAGTGTAATAAATTGCCCCTCCCGGGCTGTTGGAGCTACTGGATCTCAAGTCTCCAGGCTTCAAACGCAATACGTGGGGCTCCAAACGCAACACGTGGGGCTCCAAACGCAACACGTGGGGCTTCAAATGCGACACTTGCTCGATGTGGCCTTACCGCCCGGCTGCTGGTAGCCACGGTGGTGTTGGCAGACCTGACCAGACGCACCGACCTCCGCCTTCCTTCCTCCCGCGAGTTTCCTTTCAGCGTTCTTCGGGTCACTTGCTATACGACAAAAGCTGAAAGGCCCAACTCCTGACTCCTTTATCACCCCGTAATCCCGGCGACCCCACAGCCCTGGCAGCGGCCCACCGTGAGGTGACCCCTGGGGCCTTCGAGCGAGTCGTAGCGGCGGGAAGCGGAGGGGCGGCCGCTCGCTCCCCTCTGCAGCCGCCTTTCCCGCTCGCCCACCCCGCACGCCCCCGCCGTGCGGACCCCCTTCCCGACCCCAACAGACGGACAGACAGAGGACCGGGGGGACACAGCCCGGGCCGGGGCACACCGAGCCCTCCCCCGCCGCCGCCCGGCACCTGCTGCGGCCGGG